CCGATTTAATTTTTTTCCATTATTTTCTTTTTGTGTGTGGGGGAAAGGAGAGATGTTACACCAATGCACCTTAATAAAGAATATAATATAATTTAATATATATATTATTCAAAACTGACTTTTCAAAAGCATCTACTGGTGAGTATAATCACAGTCATCATCATCATCATCATCGTCATCATTTAGCAGCGTAGCAGTAGCAGTAGCAGCAGCAGAAACATAACTATGAGTATGAGTAGGTTTATTATTATTACATCATGTATCATATTATTACCATCACTGTTCATTGTTATTGTTATAGATCTAGATCTAGTTGTTTCTGTCGTTGTAGTTGCTGCTGATGCCGATGATAATCATGGTGGGGAGAGAAAGGGGAAGAGGAGGAAGAGGAGTGAGGGTGAGGAGGAGTGAGGGTGAGGAGGAGTGAGGGTGAGGAGGAGTGAGGGTGAGGAGGAGTGAGGAGGAGGAGGAGGAGTGAGGAGGATAATACAGGGGTGCCCACTACGGATGGGATCGGCCGATCGGCCCGATCGCCCGACTCGGGGGTGCCCACTACGGCTGGGATCGGCCGATCGGGCCGATCGGCCGAAAAACAAACGAGTTTGTTTTCAGTTTCAGACGATCGAGTCGGGCGATCGGCCCGATCCAGCTGTAATGGCACCCCGTATAAGGGAAAGAAGGGAGAAGAGCAAACATAAAGTTTATGTTAAAGACCAACTGAGGTAAATCATCAAATGATCATCCGATCTTCTGTGTCATTCAATTGATACTTCTCCCTTACAATAAGGGCCTATTACGATGACTTTCGTAACGATATTAAACGAGTGACCACTACGAGACAGAGTAGAATAGAAGGCTAGGGATAGTGGAAGGGGTAGTAGGGCTTGGGCCTAGGTTTAGGCTTAGGTTTAGGGTTAGGGTTTGGGTTAGGGTTAGGCCGGTTAGGGTCTCTTCTTTATTGTTTGTTGGGGAGGTCGCTCGTTACGTAAGTCCTCCCAATATCAAAACGCCGGTTAACAAAACACGGGGTATCTAGAGGGCCTACTCACTAGGATGGTTCTTAACGAAGGCAGGAAAATCATTAACCTGGACCACTGGATTCACTTAAATGTGAAGCGCAGTAAAAAAAAAAAAAAAAAAAAAGAGTTGGGTTTTTTTTACGACAAAAACGTAGCCTAGACATCTAGATTCTAGATCTAGACTAGATCTAGATCTAGAGTTATACTATAACAGACACGTTCACAACATAGGCCTATATCACGTTTCAAAGTACTATCTGGATTAACACCAATTGGTCAATCTACAAAGGGCCTAAAACTGGTAATTTGTGAAGCAAGCTTCATTTTTAGTCTGACAGAAAGGTTGCACTGAAAGTGTACTTACTGTTAACCTTTTAAATGTACCGACGTCCCGTAAACTCTGTCACAATGACGTTGACTCTGGTAAAACGTTCAAACATTAAGAATATTTATAATCTAGATATCTAATCTAGATCTAGATCTAGATCTAGATCTAGATCTAGATTAGATTCTAGACACAAAAAGTCATTCATTAGGATCGGTCAAAATGACAGTGGCATCTCCTCTCACAGCACAGATTTGAGTAAAGTGAAAGTAGACTTACACTGATTGCCTCCTGCCTGTGACGGTGAGAGTTGCGGCTTAACACACAGGAATCTTGACACACTCGCGCGCACACACAGAACTACAAAACATACACACATGAGCCCTGTGAACCGCGAATGTAAGGCCCAGCGCTTGACGGCTTGTCTACTAGATCTAGATTTAGATCTCTAGATCTACGCCAGGAAGGGCAAGACGACTGAACTAGGCCTAGGCTACGGACTGGGGAGCAGCCACTGTGGGCGTTAACCAAGCCACAGCGAAGAAAACAACTTGAACCAGGCGGCCCTGTCGTAGAACCTCGCGTAACCTTCGCCGGCGCGTCGTTTGATTCATTCTCCCTCCCTCCCAACCAAAACGAAGAACTGGAACAAAATGTGTTCCGCGAGAGAACGGTTTTCTTAGAGCCATTCCGAAAGAGTTTCGTACATGTACTGAGAATCGTGAAAAAAATGTAGACGTATTTCTCATTCTACCGTTAAGAATCTTTGCAATCCTCTGTTTTTTTCTGCATCTTTAATACTGTTATTTTCCATTAAAGGAAATAGCTGTCAGACACCATACCATTCTTACCTGCTAAAAGGACAGTTCGCCGTGTATGCCCCTCTACCGCTCAAAAATAAGGAATATCTCGTAAACGTGCAGAGTACCTGGAAGTGTTCAACTCCGCAAGCTCCTGATTTTCTATCCTAGATGATAATATATA